GAGAGATTTGATGAAAACTATAACAAACAACTGCAGGCTGTTATCCAGGAAAAGGATACGCAATTGGTTATTAATATCAAGGGGGGTAATAACCCTGGTAGTTTTTATGAAACCTGTGTGCAAAGTAAAATAATGTAAGCATCCAAAAAAAACCAATATGTTTGGAAAAGCTGTGTTTAAAAATTCCATGCTCTCTTTAACACCACTTAGGAAATAGTTCTGTAGTGAATTGAATGCAATAAAAAAGAAATTTTCATAGCAGGGTTACAAATTCTGTCCTCACCTGTAGATGGCAGGATGTCACTGTGATTATATTGTTGTGATGACAACTTTTTTTTTCTCCCCCCCCCCCCATGTTTAGGAGGATGAGGAAGATGAAAGTGGAAAAGAGTCTGATGGTAAATCACAAACAGGAATCTCATAACTTTATGTTCTTATTTTCAGCTATCATGACTGTTTACATTGACTTTTTTATTTTTTTAGATGATGTCCTCAGTGCAGACAGTGACGACGAGAGCCTCTCATCCTCTTCTGAAGGCTCTTCATCTTCAGGATCTTCATCTTCATCCTCAGAAGAGGATGAAGATGAAGAGGAAGGAGAGCGGGCAGAGAGTGAAGGACCAGACAGCATGGATGAGTCAACTATGGATAGCACAACTGAGAAAGACAATGAGAGGTACATCACTTGTACTGCTGTAATCAGAATTATATAACAACGAATGTTGTACTTTTCAACATTCAAATGCTTGTTTTGTTTTTCTCAGGGAAAATAATGCAGCTGTTCCAAAGGCAGATGTCAAAACAGGTTAGTCAGAAGTTGTTATAAATCACCAAAAAGCACCAGTAACATAATAGCTTCAGTTCGAGTTCAATCTTTGAAAACTTGTATTTTTTCTCAGGTGATACAAAAGATGGCAAGGCAGACACAACGGCGCCTACCAAACATCCCCCCTCACCACCATACCCACGCCCTACATCCCCTATCGTTCTTGTGCCCCCTCTCAAGAAGCGCAAAAAGACAGTCTCCTTCTCTACAGACGAGAACGAAAGCAAAATGCAATTGCCAGCTGCACCACCATCTCCGTCGCACGTTTCGGGTGAATCTCCCCTCCTCTCAGGCAGGCTTCCAGACTCACCCATCACTGCAACCTCACCCAATTCATCTCGTCCCAGTCAGGGCATCCAGCTGCTTCCCTTTGCCTCTAAACCAGGCGAAGGGAATGCTCTCATTGTGCCCCCATCTGGACGAACCCAAGATACAGAGGAATCCAAGAGAGGACCCCTCATTTCTCCCCAGACTACCCCAGTCAAATCCCCTAGCAAACGCGGTGCAGGCAAAGAGTCTCCCAAATCTTCTGCTCCTCCTGTTATGGTGTGCCGCACTGTGCAGAACCTGCCTTTGGACCATGCCTCTATGTGTAGGATGGCCTTTGAGGAGGCCCCAGCACCACCATCTGTCAACAAAAGGTCCAGAGGCAGACCACGGACATCTAGCCTGTCTACTTCTTCCTGTCACTCTCTCAGAGAGGAAGATGAGGATGAGGAAGAAAGTGAGCAGAGGTTAAGACTAAGAGAACAGGTTGGGGCCTCCAGCCTCCTGCAGCTGGCCTCTGCTTCAACAACTGACCTTTCTGTGTTAGCTGATGTGGCTTTGAAAATGGACCCTGATCCTGGAGACTCGGAGGAGACAGAAACATCTGATGAAGCAGAGGAGCACAAGATGGAAGGAAATTACTTCGCCCCAGAGTCACTGGCCCTCCTTATGAGTCCAGGGGCTGTAATCGTCCTTATGGAGCACAACTACTGCAAACCCCCTGTTGTCCCAGTACCAACTGGTGCCAAAAGGACTTCCTCCAGACAAGATTCTTCTGTTTTGCTCCCAGCCGACCTCAACTCTATTTCTGGGGTGCTTGAAGCACCAGAGGAAGTCATTGGAGATCCACTTACATCACGGGGAGATGCAGGAGAATTCTTTTCTGCAGTGGGAGAGATGTGTGACTCTGAGGATACGGGCCATGTTACGCCGGTGTCTCCATCACCAAAGAAGAAGAACCTAATTGGCAAGGGTTTTGAAACTGAAGAGGAAAAGAGCAAAAAGAGGAAGAGGAAAGATAAAGAAAACCTTGAGGTTCATCACACAAAAAAACAGAAGGAGCAGCCAGGCAAGAAACAGAGGAAGCGGAAATTAGAGGTATATTTGTCACGTTTGTTCCTGTAAATGTTTGAGATTGTGATAACCGTAAACATGCCACAGGCAACAATAGCACTGACTCATTACCAGTAAGCCCAAAGTTGGAATTTTGAAATTGGTACAGTTGAAGAGTTTTACACGTCTCGAAAGAATTTCCGCTGGTAAACCTTTGGACTCTCCAGACCAGGAATATATTTCCAGTGTAGACATAAATGTAGTTTTTGTGCATGTGGGGTTTTTTTGCATTTACAGGACTGTGTGATACAGTTTTGTTTTTTTTATTCTTGGGTGTGTTCTGGCTGAAAACAGATGGGGTAACAACAGGGTGTACCCTGTAGAAGCGCTCTGCTCTCAGTCTTATTGATGCAATCACACTAGAATTACTGACATTTCCTTAGCATTGCTTAAAGCTAACATCAGCCAGGTGCTTTGCATCATAAAAAACTTCTTTTACTTGCGCAGATGAGTTTTCATTAACCATAAACCTGCCAGTGGCATGTCTAATGTCCGATGGCGCTCTTTGCAAATACAGCAGGTAACAGTCCAGAGACTTCGTCTGAATCAAACTGTCTCAACTTGTGCACTATATATGAAAAAGTACCAATTTGGATGAGTTTCTGACTTGTTTTTGCTATTTTCACCCCCTGAACTTAGTCAGATGGATTCTGAGGCATCTCCTCTCTTATAGTTATTTGAAATACCAGATGGTGCTCCAAACAATAGGTTACCTCAGGTTCATCTTTGATCTTTGCAAAAATTTCTGGCACAACTTCACCTGCTTCAAAGGTGCGTGGAGAGAATGAAAAAAATCACAATGCAGGGACTCCAGCAACACTTAAAGGGAAGAGGAACAACTTTATTGACTGACCAACGCGTTTCGGCTTGTGGCCTTCATCAGGGTCATAGTAACACAAAGTAGAAATGTGCTTCAATAAAAGGCAGGAAACAGAAAAAAATTCAAATTAACCAATCACATCTTCATAGGTAAACCAGCTGACATATAACAGGTTGGTATTGGTAAATTGGTTAAGTCACGCCCAAGTAAACACTGGACTAGATAATTAATTAATTTATGTTATCAACAAAAGAAAGAGAAGCTTTCTAGACATCTCGTTTTAAGTCTACATTTTAGAGACATGATTGCGAAACACGTTGGTCAGTCAATAAATTTGATCCTCTTCCCGTTAAGTGTTGCTGGAGTCCCTGCATTGTAATCTTTGATCTTTACCGCGTCTTGGCACAGCACCTGTGCCTTTTTTCTAAGAACACTTATGCACAAAAAAAATCAAAAACACACACACGCACGAAATAGTGATAAAGATTAGAAGACATTAAATGACCAGAAAAAGCTCAAAGGTGTCAGTCTGTATTAGTGTAAACACCGCATAGACTAGAAACTAAAACACAGTTTTTTCTTTCCTGCAGGACTCAGATTTGGACGAAGATGTGGATGTGGAGGAGCTTGAATCTGGGGAGCTGTCCAGCTCAGACACGGAGGAAGAGTTGGTTGAAGAAGTGAGGAAGAGTGAGCGGCTCTTTTTGCAAGAAGCAGGAGTAACAACATCCCAGAACTGGTCGAAACCTGTCCCAGCGCCTGAGCCACCAGCTGTGAAGTTTGACAACCGCAGTGAATTTGAGCAGATGACCATCTTGTATGACATCTGGAACTCTGGTCTGGATGGTGAAGACTTGTTGTTTTTGAAGAAGACTTATGAGAAGCTGCTACAGGATGACCATAGCTCTGACTGGCTCAATGACACTCATTGGGTCAACCATACTAATATCCTTTTCAGTGATTATCTTTCACCTCAAACCTGTATGGGCACTAGGTTTGATTTACATGGAAGTGACACAATATCCAAAAAGTCTGACTGTTATGAATTTACTAAATTGTCTGCATAACGTGACGTTTTTAAATTCAGGAATGCTTTTATATTTGGTTCCCTGTTGTCAGCCTTGACCTTTGGGCTGCACTAACCAATTTGCCAAATCCTCGCCGCAAAAAGAAGAACATAGATGGGCAGCTTCGTGAGCATGTAACCGGTTGTGCCAGGAGCGAGGGGTACTACGCCATCAGCCGCAAGGAGAAGGATGTCTACCTGGACCTTGACCTACCCGAGCAGGTCATACGGGAGGTGGAGAATGTCGACACCTCGGTAGGCAGATTCCAAATCTTTTTGGATGCATCTTCTTTTATTTCTTTTCCATTTATTGAATCTGTTGTTCTCACATCAGTTTGATTTTGTCTGTTAAAGCAGTCGAGAAGCTTTGCTGAAATACTTGAGATATCTTGCAAAACTTGTTTAGGCTTTTCCTTAAAAATGAGTCGGCATCGGGTAACAGGCCGACGCACTTGGACAGTTCAATGTTCATGTTCACTCGATCACAGATAACGTTCACTCTCCTAATCTAATGTTTGTGAGATTGAAAATTCTGTTGTGCCTGATCCTTCATTTGTTGTTGAAAGAACAGGATAAAATGCCCGTGAGGTGAATCTGTGCATGCAACAACCTAAAGTCAGTAAATCTGATTGGCAGTGGAGATGTTGGTGTGGACGTGCTTTCGATTGTGTGGAAAGTTGAAGCCGAGTTTAAATGGAATTTTAATGTCATATCCAGTTGAACCTTTTTTTTCCAGGAAAAATATTTTGCTGGTCTCCACTGCCTCAGTAATCAATTATTAGGGGTTTGTAGCTGTTTCAGGGTATTATTATAAAGTCAACATTTGGCTAGATAGTGCCTCTCAGGCATTTGGAATGGAGGTGATTCATATTTGGCTTAGTCGAAGTGGTAATTTTAGGATTTGAGATGAAAAAGGTGAGGGTTTTCAAATGACAGAGAAGTAAGATGATGAGTATGTGGACATTTACAATACAGTTTTTAGGCATTAAATTTGTGCTGTCTGATGGTTGAGACAGACTCATGCAGGGGAAACAAATCATATTTAATTTCAGTCACATACATCACTGCTCATGTTTAAAGCATGGCATGTATTCTTTGTCAGTAAAAAGAACATTAAATTCAACAAAACAACAAGTGTATAAGGGCTGATAATAATCAGTAAATTATTGATTTATAATCATGCTAAAAAAAAAAAAGGACAATACAAACTGAAAAACTGTGTGAAAATAAGAGTCATGGAGAAACGTGCGAGATGCGTGTCGTTTCTAGTCGGGCTTCCTGATTATCAGGCTTGTATGAGTCAGTATGTGGTCGTTCACAGGAATAATGTGATGTCTGAAAACATCAGGCTTTTGTTTTTCCTTGCAAGACTACTTGAAACAAAAATATTTCTTGCTGACTGACCTTTTTTTTTCTTTTTTTTCTCATCATCTTTGCTGTTAGAAGTGGGTTTAGAGTGGTGAAAGGGTGTGATGAATTTAACAACAGACGAAACAAGTGCACCAACCTTGAATGTAAACGTGTAGTTTTCCCTTTGTTTTCCCGTTTTGTTGGCAGCCATAATTGTAACATACTTGAAATTCCAACTTCAAGTTGTGTCCACTGCTTTTGAGTTTAATGTTCATATCACGTATCTTATCGTCAGTATTCAAAAGCAGTACAAATGTTATTGCATTTCGAGAATGTTGAAGAGTGAATTCTTCCTCTGGGCCAGTGGCAGGATGTTTCAGTCCAGGCGTTATTTCACGTAAAGCACAGTGATCATTCCTGTTTGTGACACAGGAAATCCATAATTCTTTTTTTCCTGATGTAGATCCGGATTTGTCACATGTGAATTACTCCTTCCTGAACAAAAGATGATGAATCCAATTTACGTCAAAGGATCCTAATGATCACATAAATTCTTATGAAGTTCCCTGAAAAGTTTCATTATAGTGAGTGTCACACCTTTAAAGTAAATGGCCTATATTTATATAGCGCTTTTACTAGTCCCTAAGGACCCCAAAGCGCTTCACATATCCAGTCATCCACCCATTCACACACTGAGTGTTTCGGAAAGAATAATCAGAGCAACTCCAACTCCAACTTTCCTCAAGCATGGTTGAACAGCTCTAGAAATTTGCACAGCACATGTATTCCCAATCAGGAATTAAACCAATTCTCCTTTATTAAAAATAAAGGAGAAAATCTCACATATTCAAAAATTGGAGGATTTGAATACATGTTTTATGTGTTTTTCATTAAAAAGACTGGGTTCAGTCTGTAACTTCCATGAAATACTGCTAAATTGGGTGCCTCTTAGCTGGAAATACAAACAGGAAACATGAGCGCAGCGTTTATTTACACAAACACACTAACCACTATGTCTTCATTAGAATTTACTTAGAAAAAAACAAAAATAGTAAGGCTAGACCGGTTGTGCACTTATCACTTTGTATTGTATTTTGCTCAAGTATAGACATCTCCCAGCCTAAAGCAAACAGAGACATGCAAATATTAATATAAAAAAAAAAGGCAGTTTTTTATTTACAGCTAATTAATTTCAAAGACCTGAGGCATGAAGCCACTGAAGGAGGCGTGTGGACAGAGGAAATAAAAATGTTTGAATGAATTTGGGGAAAATAAGTTGGAATTGCTGATTGTATTGCGCTAACCTTTAAATGGAGTTCAGCTTGGATGCTTTTTTATTTATTTGTAATGGCTGATTAAAAATAATGTGTGAGAACCATTTCCTGTGTGCCAGGAGTAATTACAGTTGCACTACATGCATATAGTCATACTGCATATATGTTCATGTGGTCAGCTTCAACCTACAGAGCTATGGTTGCCCGGTGCATAATGCTGGGCAGTAACATAGTATGTGTCCTGAATGCATCACAGTATTTTTAACAGTTACGTGGGTCTTTCAGCTCTTTGTGAGTATTACTTTGGTGTAAGTGCAGGGAAAGCTTTCTGATAAGTCTGCCTAGAGTCAAAAGCAGAAAAAAAGGAGTAAGAGGTCACAGATCCCCACACATTTATCATAGGCCTAAATTTGGCTATTACTGTGATGATTCTATGATTTCATCATGCAACGTTCCTCTTTTATAATATCCGCAAATAAGGTTTGGGTCACTTGGGGGTGATGATCTTGATGCTCATCAGACACTCATATGATGCACCATCATTGGTCCCACGTGCAGCCAGTTATCCTCCACACAATGCCAGATTGTCATGGAACGTAGGAACATTTGAAAAATCAGCTCATTTAGTGTTTGTGTGAGTTAGAGTGGAAAATCCACGTTATCATGTTGCTGTGCAAGGTTTATTCCTCCGTAATGTATTTCCCATTTAGCCGTTGTGCTTTCCCTTACTGCTTCCATGGACACAAGTGTAGTTCCTTATAATCATACACACAAATTATTATATTTTACTGTGGCATGTTTTATGCAGTCTTGCTGTTTCTAGAGTTACAGACTAATTCAGACTCTGCAAAGAATGAGATGTAACTGGGGCACCACATCAGTCTGCGTCTTTTGTCTCTGCTGCTTCGAGGTTTTTATGTGCTTATATCAGGAACAAAGAGATAATAATAATAATAATAATATAATCCCTGTTTATGTTTTCAAACCAAAGATTTGTGGCAGGCTTAAAGAGTTACTGATACTCAGGGGGATCTCTCCCCCCGCACACAGAGCAACACAGACACACATGATTTAACTTCATGATGATACATTGAAACAGTTGTTTCACTTAGCTTTATAGGTGAAACATGAAATGTAATCTCATGGATTATTATCTTGATTGTAATATTGATCTTTTTAGTACTGAAAGCAAAGCATTAATTGGTTGTAAAAACACAGAAGTTGCATAGTCTGACAAAATCTAAAATGATGTTTGAGGCGTAGCATGACAACATGTCAGTTCATTTTGTTTCTAAGGAAGTTTCAGCTGATTCATTTTTTCCATAGATTCCTTTTCCTTGTTTTTGGAAATTTGTGCTACAGTTACACTGCTAGGCTCCCTTTAACACTCAAGTTTTTTTCACAGTAGTTATGAGAGTAATTTTTGATATGTATAAGGAACGCAAGTTAACATCTGAAGAATTTAATTATTGAACCGTAATAGAGGGAAGGCAGTGGTTGGGACTGAAGTATTCGAGGGCAGACTTGCTTCTATTCTTGCGTAATAACTTTTCCAGTCATATCTCTTTCGCAAATGAACCTCTGCTACAAGAGCAGGGGTATTGGAAATTGAGGTCAAGTGTGTTTTTCAGGTTTATGCTGTGTCCCATCAAGGCCATCTGATGAAGGCTTAGTGTAACCGTTGCACTCTCTGAAGCTCTTCTGTTTGTTTCCTGGCAGGGTGCTAACCGAGTGCTATCAGAGAGACGTTCAGAGCAGCGACGCCTCCTCACTGTCATCGGCACCACTGCTGTCATGGACTCTGACCTGCTTAAACTCAACCAGCTTAAGGTACAAGCAGCACTATATTCATGTGGTCACTTATTTACAAGCTAAACGAAAAGTTAAACTGCAACCTGCGACTTGTCAACAGATTTCACTTAAAAAAAATGTATATCTTTGCTTAAAAACAAAAACACTGTAAGTTATGCCACCTGACACAATAAATTAGAGGGTTTACAGTTCACGGGTGTAATCAAAAGGTCATCTAAGGAATAAATTTCCAGAGCCTGAAACTGATTCCATGCTTTTAGAAGCGCATAGCTGAATTTAGTAGGATATATACCAACATGTTTTACAGTCTAAACACAAACAAGACGTCTGTGAAGGTTCTCAGTCATCCAGGTCATCGTAGCTTGGAAAGAAAAGCATCTGGACTTCTTTAAGTCCAGACTTAGACTACAAACAAGACCAATTTTGACATAAACTCTGTGGTTTATTAAGCAAAAGGTTTTTCCCAAGCCTCACAAGATGAAACTCAGGGCTGAATGCAGAAGTTTTACCTTCACAATGGTGGTTTTATCTTTTGGTTTCAAGAGGAATTTGTTTATTTGTTAATGTGATGTCTGAATAGGAGTTTTTTGGAAGGTGGCTCTGCTCTCGTTTTTTGTGTGCGTGTGTGTTTGGTTTTGAAAGAGGCTGTATCTCTGGCTTTCATTGTTACACAAATCCGGGGTCGGAGTCACAGATCTGCCTCTGTGCTAAACATGCAGAAAATCTGCTCACTACAGTAGGTCAGTGGTCAAACGTTTGGGTGTGGGCCTTTTTTGCATGTTCTTATTCTAGTCAACAATTTTTTATTTTTTTTTTCTGGTTTTCACACCAAATTATCAACTTGAATTAGTTTACCTTTTTGAATTGTTGAAGATCCGATTATAAAACAAAGATATAGCCTGTAAGTACTTAAAACTGTTTGTTAATTCAGGACAGGTTAGTTTATAAAAATATCTATTGCTAGTAAGGCTCCTCTTAAATTACATCCGCTCTGTCCTGATGCAGTTCCGAAAGAAGAGGCTTCGTTTCGGACGCAGCCGAATCCACGAATGGGGCCTGTTTGCCATGGAGCCCATTGCTGCTGATGAGATGGTCATTGAGTATGTGGGTCAAAACATAAGACAGGTATGACTTATAAGGAGTTTTGTGTTTAACCAGTGATGGTTTTTGAAACTTTCCACCCATCTTGACATCTAAATGTTTTCATTATCCACTGTTGCCACTAAACAAATCTGTAAAATACTTATACAAATAATAAATCTCTAATAGTCCTGCTGTGTTGGACCCTTACTCTTGCATTGTAATATTGATATGACGGTATGTGAATTGCAGTTTTTCGGACACTTTGAGGGTGTGGTCAGTCAGAAAATGTTCTTTGTGCGCAGATGGTGGCTGACAATCGAGAGAAGCGTTACGCACAGCAGGGCATCGGGAGCAGCTACTTGTTCAGAGTGGACCACGATACGATTATAGATGCCACCAAGTGTGGGAACCTGGCACGATTCATCAACCACTGCTGCACTGTAAGTCTGAAAACACTCAACAATAATCTGCCTCTTACATGCTTTAGATATGGACTGATGTTAACTTCTGCAGCTGTCACCCATCAGTCTGTCTATGCTTTTTTCCCCCCTTGCAGCCAAACTGCTACGCCAAGGTCATCACCATAGAGTCCCAGAAAAAGATTGTGATCTACTCAAAGCAACCCATTGCCGTCAACGAAGAGATCACGTACGATTACAAGTTCCCACTGGAGGAGAACAAGATCCCTTGTCTGTGCGGAACGGAGAACTGTCGCGGGACGCTCAACTAGTCGACGCACTTCTCTACCGCACTTACCAATGGCCAATGGCTAGCCATACCCGTAAACACCTCCCTTTCCCCATGAGTTCGCTCTCCTAAATGTGTAACTTGAACCACCCCAGTACCCTATGCTGCCCCTCCTCATGGCCTCATAGCCAGCCTCACAGTACCTAGGACGTAGACACGCACACACTTGGCACTTTTCACACGCAGTTTTCATTCTCTAGGCAGTTCCACAAGCTAGTGGGTGATGGATTGGCGTCATCTGGCTCTCGATGCATGACAAGGCCTTTAGCATCAGCTCGTTAGTGGCAGTATTACTGGACAAAACCGGGTGCTCCAAGGAAGTTGTTGCGTCAGTCAGGGCACGAAGGATTTGTCAGATTCCATGCCAACATCCGTTTGAAAGGAGACAATGTGGAGAAAAAAATAGAAAAGGACAAACGTTTATTGGCACTCTCTCAGACATGGCTTCATTACTCTTTTAAAGTGACGGCATCAGTCAGACATGGGTCATTTTTATGTTCCTCATGACTTACTTTCAAAAGGATTATATTTTTGTAAATAACTATTGTTAGTATCGACTTTAGTGAAGTGAAACTACAATTTCGGTGTTCATTTCCTTTGCCATTATCTCTAAGAGCAGCACTTGTTCACGTGTTTGCATGCTGCTGTGAAAGTTGTATTGTGCGTCTCATAACCAGCCTCTGAAATATTGTTTTTTCTTTATTGGGTGTAGCTGAAACAAATCGGTGAGGGACGCTTTGATCTTTAATAAAAGCAGTAAGTAGGAAAAAAACTGCTGATTAGGGCACTTAATAATTCACAAACATGCACAAGACATGCAAAAATAATATTGTGGGAAACTATCTGTAAACTTGGCAGCATGCAGAGTTGTGCCAGGCTCCTACTCTCTAAGATTTTCTTTGTGACAGTTACAGAAGCCAGGGTGTTTATCCAGATGTGAAGCAGAAGCATTTGGATGCCGTCACGTTAATGATAAGGAGTTCATGTCTGAAAGGGGCTTTCTTTTGTCGGCGTCGTCCAGGAGTCACTCCTCTAGTGTCGAATTCCTTCTGTAACCACGCACCCGTACAAATCCGCACAGAGACGCACACGAATACCAGAAAAATTCAGGGTTTTTAGACTCGCTCACTAAGGGCGTAACTTTTAAGATAAATCACTTCAATCAATTTGGTCTTCAGTTATGCAAGATTTCCAAGCGTGAGGGTTGTTTTGGAGCTTTTTTTTAAAAAATTTCATTTCATAGTATTATATTATATTACTATTGCTGTTATTAATGGTATTGTTACTTATTTGCATTAGCTGTAAGTATATTACAGTGAAATGAGCTTCAGTGTACCCATCCACTGTCCTCAGTGGCTTTGTCATCCACCAGCCCTATAAATCCTTTCTCCTCTCTCCACTGTGTGTTACTCTCCTGTTTTGCAACAGTCTGTATGAGAGTAAAGCCGTTTTAACCCACTGTGAAAATGTGTAATTTAGGTTTCAGCTTACAGTGTGCGTGTTTTTTTTGTTTGTTTGTTTTGTTTTGTTTTTAAATGCCACTGCTAAACTTTTATATTCCCCTGTTTGTTTTTTTTCTTCTCCAAACTTATGGATACTGACATATAGGTGCTTTTAACAAATTATTTGTGCGCTCTTTGTGGGTTCTTTATTCATCTACAATAATTAGGGCTGTGCTTGTGAAATGCAGTTGAGCACATGTCCAGTGGGGGTGGGATCAGAAATTGTCAATGACTGTTTCTATCACCAACACAATGGAGGGGGAGTGTATACATTCATAACTCGCATCGCTTGTTTGTCAGCGATGATTTGGCACGCTATCTGCTGTGTTAACAGAGAAGTCGCAAAAGTATGTTCTGTTGTCGACAAGGTCACATGTCCCTGTTTGTGGGTGAATTCTAAAGATTCACAAAGGACACGCAATCCTATTAGCAATGAAGCTGGTTTCACAGCCGTTGCGTTTGTTGGTTAAAAGCATGTCAGTGACGTAAGTCAAGAAAAGGTTTTGTTGCTGCTTACAATATATCATCCTGTTTCGTTTCAACACGCGCACAAATTCCTGTTTAAACAATTGACAAAAGCGTTTTCTGCAAATCCTTCTCCCTAGTTGCTTTGTTAGGTTCTGAATTACACAAGTGAGTTTGTCAGTAATGCTGCTGGCTTTGCAGCCATTTGCTACAAGTTTGCATTTCTAGCAGAGCCCCGAGTCAAATAAAGTTATAATAATAAGAAGAACTCCTTCGAGGTAAACTTGGCAGATCTTTTTGTAAGGCACATTTATTTGATTTGGTTGTTTCTGTTCAAAGACGTAAAGTTCTTGTTTTCCCCTTGTGTTGCAGATCTTTGCAGAATTCATGAGAATGCATTATATTTTACTTCAGTCATCCCTTCTGAAAGATCGTAACTCAAAAAAAAAAATAAAATCCTGCTTACAGTCTGTTTGCATTGTAGATAGGTGAAAGTGTCCGTGTCCCTGCGAGGTTAACAATCCTAGGCAGTTTCTGATACGTTGCAGACGGGGATTTCAGTGACCTTTTGTGTTGTATTTTTTTATTTTTCATGGCTATGGCCGTCCAAAGTTTAACTTTGATGTTGAACTTTTAACTAAACTCCTGTTTATTTGTTCTTTCCCAAACAGGAAAATGTGTAAGATATTTCTTGTTGCAATGAAAGCCTTTCAGTACAAACCAACCCTCTTTAATAAAGGAGAAAAAGATGAAAGGAAAAAACAAAAGCAAAAACAAAAAAACAAAGAAGTACATGTAAATATTGTAGAGGTGTTTGTTTCTTGTAGAAACACACTGATTCCAAGCTGTAAATATGTTGTTCCGTTTCCTTACTCAATGAGGAGGAAACATGTACATACCTTCCATTCATTTATTTTTTATTGTTTTTCCTTTTAATTTGATGATTATTTTAATATTATTTGCAATATTTCTCTTGTATTAATGCGTTGGACCCTTTATTAATGGTGCATTAAAATATTTTTTAAATAAATGAAAATCTTGTGTTTTTCTTTACCAAGTCAGTGTCCTGCTCGATATGGATGTTCAGATTGGAAACAAGCGTGAGAGTCTAAGTGACTTCTAGTTGATCTCTTATGCCACTTTAAAGGCATGTTGGTTGAGCAGGAAGTTGTGTGCCGGAAACAATGCATCTGCAACTGTCATAGACTGTAAGAGGAAGCAGTGAAATCTGATGAGAACAGATGGTGACCTGAGTTGACGAGGCTACAGCTGGCTAACATGTGCCCTTATATGCATTTCCATCTCCCATCTTTTTAGTGCTCTCCCTATAAGGCCAACTTTCTTCTGATCCACTGTTCCTCACAGTGAAAAGCAGGTGAGTGTGTTCAAGAGGCAAACATATTACAAACATCAGCAGAAAAACATGGACCATTTTGTGTAAGGGATTACTTTTACATTCACAGGTCTCCTGATCCACTTTAGTATAACAATATATTCATGACAGAAGGAAAGTAAAGGAAGCAAGATGAGGCCCCTGTAGCTCCCCTCATCACTTCTGAAGCCATTGGCTGCTGGTTAAAAGTTATTGAGGGCAATAAAGGCACCAGGTTCAGGTTTGTTATTCTCAAAACAAGTTGGCTAGAGCCCGTCAAATATTTGTAAGTTAAAAATTAAAAGTATTACAGCTGCTAGCATGGCTGAATACTCCTAGCCCTGTAACTCATCTGGAAGCAGTAAAAAAAAAGTTCTTAACCTTTAACCATCAAGTCATTCTTATCTGCTTCCTTTTGAAATGACACTATAGAAATGTGACCAGTTTTCTTCCCTTTTTTCTAATGACGTCCTCTGTTTAAGTATGGTGGATAAAGTGTGGTCTTAAAACTGTTAATACATTTTATGGTTCATGGTTAGGATCAATCCTAGCTCACCTCAGGCACAAGGATTGGTATGCGGTGTTCCTTAGTCTATCACAACAGATCATTTTTATGTTCTTAAACATTAAATATCATTGGTCACCTTAAAATCATCAGTTAACCAAACAGGCATGCCTACAGACTACTGGATTTATTAGTACACAGTGGGTTCGAACACCCAGGTTGAAGAAGAGGGCTGTAACAGTGCTAACCACTTCAAAAGCATTTTTTTTTAGTAAACTTGAGAAGCAGTTGTGCACTTAAAGGTAGGTGTAATCAAGCAATGCAACATGCTAAAACAATTACAGAGCAGAAGATTTTCCAAAGTTTACAAAGATCCTTTGTAACATTTAGTGAAGCATGGTGAACACAAGAAGGACCAGTTTCTGTTATAATGCAGCATAAATGCCT